TAAGAATGGGTTTATTTCCCTCACTGAAGACAGATGGCTTCAACCACCTTTTTAACATTTTAAAGATTAAGAAGTAAAGAACAGCATGGAACACAATGGAATCTTCAAGATTAATACAGGTACCTAGAATTCAATCACTTCGTATATATATCAGGAAAATAGCCTGACTGTTTTCAGTCCTACATACAACAAAAAATGACAGCGTATATAAAGCTGAAAAATTGTGTAGAACTGTTTTGCCCTGCTGTTTTTCACTTCTCCCTGAAGTAACTTCAAACGTTAATTTTCATCTGGAGGCTAAAACCACAAAAGGAAAACTTTCTTTGTAAAGAGAAGTGTGAAGCTTCCACACTGCTGTAGTTGTGACAACTTTTTGCAACATAAAAACAAAAAACATGCCAAGGAAGTTTAGTATTATTATTCAATGCAATATTTCTGCTTCAGATGGCTAAAAGGAAACGTTCAATTCAAAAGAAAATGTATTTCTGTTTCTGAAAACCCTTATTAAACTGTTCACACAACATATACAGTCATGAGTGGAAGAAAGACAAGTATTTTGCAGAAAAGAGAAGGACTATTACAGTGGCAAGTTTATGCCGTTGTAGTGAAGACTGTAAACATTTTTATTGTAAATATTTGTTTTCAGAAGTTTCTAACTCATACCTAAAAAACTCCTGACTGAAACTCAACTTGATGTCTCCCTCCGTAATAAGCAATACAGAAAGCAGTTTACCATCTGCTTTACAGCTGGATACAGTCGCAAAAGAAAAAAGAGGTTGAAAGGCTACACTGGGCCATTTTATCTAAAATTGCTTTATTTTCAAGAGTAACTTTTTACAGTCATTAAGATATGCTCTGAAGTACTTCCACAAAACATCTTAGATCCGGTTCCTCTGCATGCTGCAGCAAGCAGAGACAATTTGAACTGTGGGGAGTATTCAAAAGTCTGAGATGCACAAATGAATGTCCCTAATAGATAAAGACATGCAGCTTGCATGTGAGTTTCTGCTGTTTCACACGTGATTTGTCTGCTTGAAAACCAGCCCTGGTGGAAACGACAATAAGTGGTGCTGTAGAACTACATTAACACTCATTTGTCACTCATAATTTACAGTTGCTGGTGCTGTGGTGGAGGAAGCATATAAAACCTTTAATAGAGACTTGCTAAAGGAAGCTAAGTCATAGCTCAGTTAACTACATGAACTTCAGGAGACACAGAACAAGTAAATACAAAATCAATTATTTTCACCTGCTTAGTAATCAAGGTGGGACATGCAAGATCAACAGTCAGACAATAGTCAGAACTTCTAGCACTGTGTGTGAGAGTAAGTACTGTACAGATATTCAGCCTAATGCTCTCACTGAAGGATTTGGTTAAAATTCATTGATTACCTAACTCCTGTAAAAAAACCCCTAGCTGCCAGTAAATTGAACAGATCCTACAAAGGCTCGATATTCTGCTATATAAAAAAATAAAATTAAAGCATTATATCCATGGGAACAAAGGATATAAAGCAAAATAACGAGTTTGAAATTGTACCAGCTTGCTGATTCTGCATGACCCAATATGCTGGCTCTTGACAAGGAATTCTTTTTAATCATGGCGACTCAGGTGCAGATCCCATCTGTTGATGCCAATTACAGCACATCACCAAAAGTCTTTATTAGCTGTAAATTCAGCCTACCCCTCCCATTATACTTAGCACATAAGGGAAAATTGATATTTATTTTATAATTGAAATGGCACACTCTGAATGTCTTACTCTTAAAAATGGAAGTAAAATCTTATTTGATTCTTGGTTGAGAAAGCCTCCAATAGGAAAGTCTTTCAAAAAAACGTTTTCCATCCTAATTCAAATTAGCAGCAGGATGCTGTGAATGCCAAGGTGAAAAGCTGCCAGTCTGTATGTCAAACTCTGGTTAGTATGGAAGACAGTAACACTTTAATAAACAGGTGATTAGGCAACTCCCAGCTCTGTTAAAAGCAGATTGGTAGTCTATTACAAACTGATTAAATTTGCCACTTCTTCACTTCAAACAATTATATTTGCTCATTAACACTTGATAGGTTGAATGCAGCCTAAGAAGAACATAGGAAAATTAAATATCAATCATTCTAACTCCTTGGAGATTTAAAACTGACTCACATAATGATATTTTCCTTCAAAGAACAATAGGCATGTGCACCTGTGAACGCTGCTGTGGAGGAGAAAAGGGACAATGGGAAAAGTTATTTAAAGACTGATGCAAAGTAGACAACAAGGGAATTAAACATGCAGCTTAACTGTTGTACTGCACTGATGTGTTCATACACATCCATATGAAAGTGTGCTCTAAAACAGAGCATGAACACTATTAGTTATACACAAGATGAGGCACATGACAGGCTTACTAGTAGGGAAGACATAAAATAAAATCATGGAATCATAGAATATCCTGACTTGGAAAGGACCCACAAGGATCACTGAAGTCCAACTCCTGGCCCTGCACAGAACGACCCCAAGAACCACACCATGTGCCTGAGAGCATTGTCCAAACACTTCCTGAGCTCTGTCAGGCTTGGGGCTGTGACCACTGCCCTGGGACATACGGAAGCACAGTCTGTTTGACACGTGAAACAAATGCCTTTCTTTTCATATTTAATATAGAGCCTTAAAGGAGTTTAAGAGATTATTCTCAGTTACCTTATGACCTTTGCAAAAGACAGAAACTGCATCTTAGTGGAAATGTTACTATTGGGAAAGGCTTTGTAAGGAAGCCGGGATGCTGAAGAGTTACACTAACTAGCTTTTACACAGCTGAGTCTATTAGGGCATTGCAGAGAACTACAAAAAGCAGATGAGCATTTTTAACCCTATTCTGATGATGCGAAAGCTGAAACAGAGGAATGAAATGCAATGTTCTCATGATTCTTTATCAGGTCACAGATAGAACCACAGAGAATACATAAACTTATGAGACCAGTGCTCTTAGTTCCACCAAACTACAGACACAAATTGGCTTTCCAACTGGCCTTAAAAACTAAGATGTTAAAAACATAATCCACTAAGAAACCTCACAGTCTGGTAATTTTGAGCTTTCTGTAAACTGTATGCCCATTTTAAAATGAATTTTATATTCTTCAAAGAATCAACTTCTCACTCATTGCACCATGGGAGGGGTTAGGCACCCCTGTGTGCACTTAACTACTCCCACACAGAAGACACTGATGGGACCTGCCCCAAAAACTGGCAGATTAAATAGCCACATATCCTTAATATTGTGGAAGAAGACTATTTTCTACTCCTCTTATTCTCCCTCTTGACGAGGTACTTCTTTACACCATGTCAGGGAAAAGGTGTGGCAAAGAAATAACTGCGACTTGCTGATGGATCTAGTACACACAACTTCAGTACATTATCCATACATAATTACTTAGTTGGTTTTAAGACCTGAGAGTACAAAAACCTAAAGCCTGGTATTTGCTATTCAAGTATTATGATGATTATGATAAAGATCATGATAAAACTGCATTTAAAACTTGCTTCAGATAGGGATCTCTTATGTCTATAAGAAAGCTGTCTTGGAGACATTCTGGTGAACCTCTGGATGAGAACAGCTGTATTACAAACTACAAGTTAAATGCCAACTGTTTACCTTTTTATTTGAGGTTTCAATTAAAGGTGAAGAACAACAGCATCATTAGCTAAAGTTAAATGGGACAAACTATTTCTTCTTAGACAAGCAGGGTGTGAAAGTTCAAAGGGAATTAATCAAATGCTGCATTTTTGTCCCTGTCTGGCTGAAAACAGGACATTGGCTTGTCTGTAGAGAGTGTGGACTAAGGAATGCGCTTCTAGAAATAAGAGCTGTGTCCTACCCCACGGTCACCTGATGCAAAGTAGCACTGCATTTGAGACTGTGGAGAGCTGAAGTACAGCAAGGCAGACACACAAAGCCTCTCACTAGTGGAAGTGGAGACTGGAGGGTGTAGACTCTGGGATACTTAAGGAACAACTGAAATTACAGGAAGAGCTCTTATTTGACATGGAGAACATTTTATCTGCTCTGATAAAAAGTCATTAAAAAGTGCATATGACCTCTAAATCCAATACATGTTACGATTATTCTATTATAGTCAGCACTCCAGCTGGGTCCCTTAAAAGGTTGAAATAACATCTGTGGGTGTATCTCAGCTTCTTCAGATCCACGAGCAAATGCAGGAAGCTTTGTCACAGACTACCTATTACAGAAAAGATTCCCTCCAAGCAGTGGAGGAGCAATCAAATTTTCACATGCATGCTATCCAAGCATAGGCAGGAGATTGGCATGTTGTTCAATATTGTGATTAAGCAGTCACAGAAGACTCATCTTTCCCATTTGTTCCAGCTCCAAACTTGACCAAAAAATAAATAAGGACTGCATCAGAATGGGCAAATTATGTCTTTGGAGACAAGTACAAATTGAAAATTAATTTGCATGTGGATAAAACAGTAGGTTCTTGTTCACAAGCAAGCTTTTAAATGATGTCCTGTAAAACTGCCTCTGTACAGCTCAGTGACAAATCCTCCTGCAGTGTTTAAATGTCTTTGGGGTCCTCTACCAAATCTTGCTAGCTGAAGTGTTTTGCATTTTAAGGACCTGAAGCCTAGTTAGCATTGAATAGTCAAGAGAACATACATTTTCATGACACTGTTGTCTCTCTAAAAATTTACAGAGTATTTCTACCATGACTAATTTATTTTTTCAAGTAACAAAATGCTGAGTAACGTCTTCCAAAAAGGATGTATTTTGCTTTTCTAACTCAAAACCTACTTGAACTCAAAGGTAAAGGTAAGCCTTCCTGAAATACTTGAAAATTAGATACCAATTCAGTTTCCTCACTTCTACCTAAGTGATCCAGCCTACTCTGTCCTGCATATTGACTGTGGCAAGAATGCATACTAAAAAGAATAAACCACAATCCAAGTACTAAAACCTCTTAGGCTCACGTAACAAAAAAGAAACGGTGATAAACCTACCTTGTGTAGCAATGTAGTGATTTGGTCTGTGATAACCCTGAAATAAATTGGAAAAAAAATCAGCAATATGCACCTTGGCTATGTTTCTATGAGTGAAATTTCATTTAGAGTACTATTCAGTAAACATCAGAACAATATAGATGAAGTATTAGATGAAGTTCTTTCTAGTTGCGGAAGGGCAAGTGAGAAGGGGATCAAGAAGCAAATGTGTTTTCTGCAAGATACTTACGTTACAGCCTTGTACATTAGGGGCCAGAAGTAATATGTTATTTCAGTCCCTTGTTGGCTCTGCTGAAAATGAACAGCATGAAATCCTCTCTAGCACTTGCAGCTTATGGCATCAGATGCTCATGAAGTCTGAGATATACCTTCACCTATTGCTATTAACTGCAAAGCCTATCTTTTTTTTAACAGTTAAAAAGTGCATTCAGCCTGAGGAAGGAGTAAGGGAGATGTTCACTTGGCCTATGGTGATTTGTTAATGCTTTATTTCTGAACAATAAAAAGGAGGGTAAATTCTTTGACTAAATGATTTGGTATTAATACACTTTTTCAGACCTAAATAGGAGGAACATAAAACAATTCCTTGCTTCTCTGATGACAAGAGCGACTTAATTACAAGTTGGCCATGCAATACAGATTAATACTCCGTGCATTCTTTGCAACACTGAATGGGTTGCCAAAAGGTAATGATACTATTTTTATGGTATTTGAGTTTCTGACGTGGTGGGAGTCTCACCAAAGTTTAGATCATGCACTAGTATGTTGATAAATTCTGTTATGGGAGTGCACAAAAAGCAGAGTTCCCAATGTAAACCTGACTAGCAAGACTATAAACAAACACGCTGTATTTTGTGGTAGAGTTGTCTTTGGAAGACACCTGCAGTTCTCCAAGCTCTGCAAGGAAACCACCTGCTGAGGATGAGGGAGAGAATGTTTTTGTTCTCAAGCATTGTTTCTTTTAGGACCACATTCTCTCCATCCTCTTGTACTCCCATAAGCAAGAAAAGGTTATGTGGCTGTCTATCAGCATTTTATATGAGAATGTATGATCCAAATCTTTATTCCTCACATCTTGTAATATTTTAGAGTCAGATCAAAATCTTACATAAGAACATACTACTAGCCTAAAATGAGAACAATCCCAAATGTTGGAGAAAATGTGAAAGCAAATTCAAGTCTAGGTCCCCAGTGTGAACTCTCCTTTCATGACAGATTACTCCCTTCAGAGTTGAGTGAAGCATCTAACTATATTTCCATATGTGCCTTTACCACTTGATGACTGTGTCATTCTTTGAAACAGCCAGGGACTGAGCAGAAATCTGAGCTTAGCTTAATGGTTCTTGAACATGCTTAAAAACATCAATAGAAGGAGGTATCTTCAGAAAGTTCCTTCAGACTTCAGACTGTTACAACTGAAGTACCTACTTTTCTTGGACAGCTCTAGTTCCTCCACATTCTCAGAAAAACATCTGTTACATTCCTGTTTCATACTACTAATTAAATTTGAACTGCAAACTGTGACACCATTTTTCAAAGATGCCACTGCTGAACAAGAAATCTTTAGCAGACACAATTTCCTATGAAGCAACACTTGTTTTACTTAGCCTAACATCTAGCACTCCATGTAAACAGTAAAATTATTATCTTTGCTATCCACAGACTTCCGGCTTTAGATAATATTGACTTTCTAATGATTTTCAATTCAACTTTTGAGTTCATTCTTTCAACCAAAAACACCTTGTCTCTTAAAGAATTTATTCTAATGTAAAACATTAAGTTAACATGATGCAGAATGAACAAAGAAGCCGCTTTCAATAATTAAACAGCCTACATATTTAATGAAATGTCTTGCTTGCATTAGAAGTACTGGTTAACAGCTGCAGAATATACTTTGAAGGCGACTTAAAAGTGCAGAGATGACAAGAGACTGCAAATCTCTGCATTAGGCATTACAGAGTTTTGTCGCATTAATATGCAAACAGCTTTCTTTTAAATGTGGAATGATGCCAGGCTGTTGACAGAAAGTGAAAATAACATTTTGCTAGCCCATATAAGCACCAGCAGGCAAAGTAGCCATACAGTGTTTCTGGCAAGGTTTCAGTCTAGTGGCAGTTGGAGGAAATGACTCATTTCATTTACTCATTGACAAAACCTTTGAGGCTTATTTTTTTCCCTTTAGAGTACACCTAGCTTCCAAAGATAGTACTTTCCAATGCTAAACAATGTTAGCAGCTGATATTAGCTGTGATATCTATTACAAATTATGAATAATGTGAGAATAATAAGAGTTCCCTCTTTGACTGAACACAACATTAAGCTTGTTGACTACATCAGTATACTCACATCAATATAATTTCCATTGATGTAATCGGAACTTGTTTCTCCTTCAATTGGCTGCAATCTCACTCGAGAATGATCATCTGAAATGGGAACAATGGAGAGGGAAAGAAAAGTAATTAAAGACACATTTAGTAACAAAGCCTTCATCAAAGTACTCCTTTAAAGTAAAAAACCTCAGCCATTGCAAGTTCATGCTTACTTTGTTGTCCACGAAAACAATGTATCTACATTTAATCCTCATTTCAGTCATTCAAAGGCTTTCCAAATCCCCTCTGGTTTTCAGTATGAATGTCTTAAATATCTCTAATGTGAAACCCATTGCAACTATGATTTTTGCCTTAACACCCTCTGCTTTTGTCAATAATGTAACATTAAGCTGTCAAAGGTTTAATCATTTGGAAATGCTTCTGCCAGTACTCAAAAGAAGCTGAAGTCACTCTCCAAGACATACTGCCACCTCACAATGTCTGAAGGAAACTCCTTATGTTTTCAGTAAGGGGGAAAGCAAAATAAAGTAACAATGAAACCCAAGCAGTCAGACAACGACTTTGTCACTGAATTTTGTTCCACCGCTGTGGCCACCTATATCTACCCAGGAATGTGTAAAGACTCCCAAATTCCATTCCAAAACATCATGGCATTAATTCATTTCAAGTCAGCTGCCTCATTTTCTTTATGATATAGCAACAGTGCTAGAAGCTAGTTCCCCACCCAACACAAGAATATCTGTATGCTGGCAGGCCCTTTTTTTCCCTCTGACACTTCATAACTTCCTCTTGATTCAAAAGCAATCAAACACCATGGCTTTTCCAGAATGCTGCACAAGTTGTTATAAAACAATTTGAGGGTATCATCTCAAGGATGGAGAGATGGTAAATAGCCACTTTACTGCTGCTTTGTTTACGAGTTACTCTTGCTAATTAGATACCTGTGTATTATTGGTTTTGCTGCTTGCCTGCTGAGCTAATATTACTTGCAGCTGATGACAGACCTTCATGACTGTCACTATTTGTTGTAAATGTAAATAAACATTAAAACACCTGAAACTTGCCACTCATGTTCTGAACAGCATTTTTTTTTCAGCTTTAAAATTCCTAAAAGATAACAAATGAATGACAGAACATGAAGTGGCTTAAAACCCCAACTACATCATAAGTAGCATAATATTGGCCCACATTATGGTGGAGGAAGGAGAGGGCAAGTGGTCCTTAAAACACAATTGTTTTACAATTACAAGTCAAGAGATTTTCAAATGGCTGAGAAGGAAAGAAAGAGGCAAATTCTTTATTTTATCCCCTTTTATGCTCCAAGTCTCAGAACTAGAGATGTCAGAGCCTCATTTACTTTCCTGAGATTCCCTCGGGAGAGAGAAAGGCCACCATTTAAAACCAAATACAGTAAATCAGCATGAATTAAAATTCCACCTCTAGGTTTCACACAGGTCTTACTTTGCTATTTTCTTATGATTATTTTGCTCAGCAGTCTTTGAGAATGAGTTACTCCAGACATGCTGGAATATTCAAATCTATTATGTTAATCAAGTCAGCCTTTTCAGCCTATTTATTCACTTTTCCAAGAATAAAAATTTATAGAGATGTAACTCTCTATTACATAACCCATGCTGGTCTGACCCTACCAAGCTATGCTTATCCAAGTGCTGTGATATTCTCTGCTTAATTAAGATATTTAGCAGTTTTGTCAGAACAGAGGTTTGGCTTACAGGACCTTACTTCTAAAAATTCATCTTACTTAAGAAGGATACTAAGGAATTTTCTAAGCTCCAGCCATGGCTGCTGCTTTTACAGTTCTGGGACCTGATCCAACTTCTGCTAAAGTCAGCACACTCAGTAGTCAAGCTTGCTTGGACTCATGGTATGTCTTCATCTATATTTTCATGATTCTCTGCATCATTGCATTATAAGCATTCTCACCAGGACAACTCAGGCTAGTAAAGATCTCCACTTTGTATTCACTGAATTACTTTGGGCAGGGTTCAGTTGTCTCAGCACAAGCATCTCAAGCTCCTTTACACAGCCACCAGGATAGATTCCCTAGCTTTCCTCTGTCACTGTGGAGTAATGTGTCTCTCATGTGCACTGTGCCACATTTGTTGGGCCTGCACGGACATCCCAAGTCACCTGAAATGGCACTATGTGTCTGTGTTTAGGCAAATGAATCCTGTATTTGATGACTTGCACATAAATGAGTTCCATATTGGGCAAAAGAAGCTTGAATTTTCCACTAAGAAGCATCTTTAAAATATAAGTTCCTGTTATTTCTTTTAGATGGATTTATACAATTCAATAATACACAGTGGTATCTTTTATTGACATTTCCCGGATTTTCTTAATTCCCTTTTTTACTCTATTCTTTCCTTGCAATAACTTGCTTTGGACTGAGCTAAACTATAGAAGTTACTTCATACCTATATTTTCATATCCCTTTGCCCTTTTTTCTTCTCATGTACATCTTTTCTAGTCCTGCATTCTCAGATAAGTTTCTGCAGATTCTGGAGGACTGTTCAATATCCACTCATTTGCAGTGGAACTGGAGTGACTCCCTATTTGTATTGCGTTGAAAACTCTAGTTAACTCCTTACTGCATGGCAACACTTCTTAATCTGAAAAAAATCCTTCAGTCAACAAAAAGAAACATTACTGTGTCTATGCTGTGCTTATGTCAAGTAGACTTAAACCTAAGAGGTACATAAGCCATATATTCTTAAACACGTGTGTTGATTCTTAAACAGCCTCTAGGTTAACTATCTTGATTTTTAAGGTTTTTTTTTTTCCTTTATACTTCAGCTGCTCTTGTCAAGTCATATAGCTTTTAAATACTTTCTTTTCCTTCCCATTGTTTTTTTGATACCCTTCCATTAGGAGATCAAATTTAACTTTCTACTGATCACTTAAGCTTTCAAAATTAGTTACGTTAGAATCAATTTGTCTTTGTAGAAAATGGTAATAGATAATGAATATAAGCATTTTATTCTTGCTCCCCTCACGTTACCTACAACATGAATATGCCAACCTGCAGACTGTGATCTCTAACAAGCCCCTTGAGCAGCTGGTTGATTAGCATGCCTAGCCAATGACCCTTTCTTGGCTTTCTGATTCTTTGCAAATCAAACCTTTTACAAATGTCTCACTAAAATCTTTAGTGGCTTTTAAAAGCTGTGATCAATATTCTCTTCTCATTTAGTCAATATTGAGTTGGGTAAAAATAAATACAGAACCCCTCCCACTCCCAAATTACCTCAACACCTCTCCTGAGGAAAAACTCAATAGATTTTACCAAAATCCATGCATAACACTACACAACTATGGCAGAAACAGAATTTTTCTTTCATAAAGAAAGACTCATTTAGCAGATTCATGCTGGCTTTAGCTCCTAATGAGAAAACACAAAGGTTTTTTGTGTTGAGTAAATAAAGAGCATGTTTTCTGTAAGTGACTGGACTCTGATCATGACTCAGCTTTTTGATACAGTGGCTCACAAGTTGTAACCACCCTCATAGAGCGGGTAGGGCATGTTTGTAGCTGGTTAAATGCACATCACTTGGGTAACATAAAGCACACTGCCATTTTGACAAGCTGCTCCAATACTGGCCAGTTGGTGCTATTGTTTTAATTCCCTCTGAGAACAATGATGACTACAAGCAATAATGTAACAGTAGTATCTTGGGAAAAAAATTAAACAAAGAGGGTAAATGGATAGAAAAAAATTACACTAAACACTTTTCAGAAAAATATACACTTCCTTATAAGTATGTACCCATAGAAAGTAGCATCTGAACCACAGTATTTTTAAGTGTTTGAACATAGCATAAAATGGCTATTTAGTAAAATGCTTTTAAGCTAAATCATATACTTTATACAACTATCTGGGACAAATTTTTAAAAGCAGACCACTGAAATTGTACTCTCAGACTCTGAGAAAACTCATCACTATCCAGCAGAAAAACACATAAAATCATGAAACATTTAACTACCCCATTTGTATACATGTATTTAATGGACGACAAACTGTGCGTAGTTTCAGCCTCTCTTTTAAGATACTGCCTTTAACTCTAATAGATCTTAATTTTAACTTGTGTTATCTTTGTTTTCACAGGCACATAAACAGGAAGTGTTACTGATAAAAATTCCATCCAACTCCTTCCCTTTCCTAAACACCGAGTACATTTCAAGTAAATTGAGATCTAAATGCTCCAAGTTGCATTTGGCCTCGCAGAAAGCCTTCAGTATCATTTGTAATTGCCATTGATTTGTGAATCTAATATCTTTTACTTGTTTTCCCTTGGCTACTCATCACTTCATTACCTCAGACATAAAGCACGAGTAGCCTTCTAGTTTTCTTTAACCAAAGGGTGTCAGAGTGTAAGATGATGGCTAACATGACATTAAAGAAGGAACTGACAACAGTAAGCCTAACTAAAAGAGAAGATCTATTCTAAGAGGCTTGGACTGGAAACAGAATTCCACAAAGCAAGTCTAAGCACAAAACCTCTTGGTATTCTTATTTATGCCTTCAGTATTTTTACTTCAATGATTAGTTGTTGCTCATCTTACGTACTGTTATACTCTCACAAAATAACAAGTTCGTTACACATTAAACATTGCTTGGAGGGAAACAAGCATAACCACATTTAGCTAACTTCTTTTGTGTATGCAGCAGCTCATCATGATATTCACATTTCTATAGATTTCATTTCCTTTTTCAGTATCTAGCATGGTATACATCCAAAATACACAACAATGCTATCATGTCCACTCAAAATGATGTGGCAGATCATCTCTTGCTTCACAAGTATCTCTTGCTTAATTTTCCTCTGTCTCCACAAGCATTTCCTCTGGGTTCCCATTCTGCAGCAAGTTACAGAGCTGTTTTTAATTTAGAGGCTGACTCAGATCAGTTAGGCCACAGTGATACAAGGGCTGTATTCATACTGTAGATCACTGAGTTAGCAGCTGGTCTCTCTAGACTCATTGCATACGCACTGCAGAGAGGACCTCCTGAGGTGGTGATTCAGAAGCATTCAAATGGGCTCTATTTCTGAATCATTTCTCTAGAAGACCTGTCCTTACCTCTGTCAAGTCCATGTGGTTCACTGATGAGTAAACCTAGGTACATCTCTGCCTGGACAAGCACCTAGATTAGGTGCTGAAGTTAGTCCATGTAATTTATGCACTACATACTCCTTCCATAGGTCACCAAATGTTCAGACAATCAGTGTGGCTTATTTTTCCATGCTGCCCCACGTCCCTCGGGTTATAGATGATTTCTGAACTCCAGCAGTATCATTAAATGATGCCTCCTTAAAGACCATCCTTCATTTTCATGCTTACAAAACTATGTTGTGGCGGCAGCTTCTTTCTCTGATTATACCTGCTTCATGGCTATCTGGCTGGCTGGCAGAAACACATATGCTCCATATCTTAAATTTAGATTTTAAAGGAAAAACTGGTGAAGGGATCATGTTCTACATACACACTGAGAACCCACCCTTTAAGTGCAACACCACTAGTGTGTAAATAATATAATTTTGCTGAATTTGATATATTTTCTGCCCTCATGTTTGTGTGCAGCATCTCTTGTCACAATGCTTTGCAATCTCTAAATGCCAGGTTTAGGGGTCACTCACCAAAGATTGCTATCATCTCATCAAGTTATTTGATTATTAGTATATCTAATTTTTATCAAGCTTGGCATTTTTTAGTAAAACATACAAATTATCTTTATTCCCTTGGTCTGTCTAGCATTAAAAGGGTAAATCAGGATAAGTGTCACTGTTACTGAGGAAGTTATTGAGGCATACTTAAGCTGCAGTACTGTCTGCTCCTGCAGTATGCAGGACCTAATACCAAGGTACTGATAGGATCATGGCTACTCTTGGACTAAGTTGCCAGGAACAGTCTGGGAGCTGTTACAGCCAAGTACTGGTTAAAGATGTCATTTTCCATTAGCCAAATGCTGATCACAGGATGGAAGGTATACAGAAGGCTTGTTGAGAAAATGCATTAAATCTGACAGTTTTCTCAAAAAAAATAATAAAAAAGGAGCAACATCTTCCCTCACTTTTATCTTCTTAATTAGAGAAAAGGAATATAAGCCTGATGTGAGCACGAGGCTGGTGGTCATTCTTATCCAGATCTGAAGGGAAGTTAACTGAGAGTGCAATTATGTTGTCAACACTTACATGCAATGATATTCCCGTATCTATTTTTCATTCTGTTCTCATCTTTCTTAGCTGAATCCCACGGTGCAGACTGTCCTTCAAAGAAACTCTAAAAAAGGAAAGAAAGTGACATTAAGAAAAGCATGCAGCAACAGTTACCTTATGGATAAACGGAGAGAAAGGCAAACAATACTTGCGGGTATTGTGGTTAAAATGCCATTTAGCTGATTGTTTCATTGAGCAAAAATACAAGTCTCCTGTTTAAATGGTATTTATGCACAGCTCCAGATGTTATTTAAAATTTGACATGAGATTATCTGTATAATAGCAAGAAGAATTATTTGCAAGTGAAGTGCTATTAAACCTTTCCAAATTTGCATGCTTGCAACACTGAGAGTCCTTCATTTGTGCTCTCCGGGTTCCCCGCATAGTTCTCATACACACACATGAAGCTGAAGGAGCTTCATCATCAGTGTTGGAGTTGCTCCAGTATTTGAGTGTAGAATTACACACTGTACCAACACATTTTATTTTTGACATATCCACAAGTTTAATTTACTTCGTGGCAGATGACCTCATGGATCTAAACATATATAGGCATTTTTGAAAATGTGGATTCAAGTAGCATACATGTCTTTTTTTTTAAAAACAATTTATGACACCATCATGATGATTATTTCCTCAGAGAATAAAAATAATGATTTTGTGAAAGATATAATCTCATATTCACCCAACCTCTGTGCTCTAGTTAATAAATCTCATGTAAATGAGAAAGCTGAAGGCACTAAAAGTATATTTTTACATAAATAAAACACTGAAGTGGCAAAAAGGGCAGCAAACAAGTTGTTACGTCCTATCTATCCTGTAGGTTCTGTGGTATAAAAAAGAGCACTCGCACAATTTCTGAATTTAAACACTGTATCTGTAAGTCATATAACATTTTCTAATGTCTGTAAGTCATATAACATTTTATAATTTCATATTGAAATATTAATCTTGTGTTAAAAATATTTAAATCTCAGCAAACCAGTGGAATTCTATCACAATGATGGCCAGTCTCACGTTTTGATCTTTTTACTAGAATGATTGGTAAACGAAATCTTTGGTTCGAGAGGGACATGAAGGTACATGATTTACTTTTCTGGTAACAGAAGTCAAAAATGGCTAAGCACCAAACTAAATAGAGAAAACCTTGGGCAGTTTGTATCTTTTGCAAGATCTCAACACATTCTGAATGGTTTAAGAAAGATAATGCCCATTAAATGGACTATGATTAGTGTCCTTTGCTCTCATACTTGAAAAGCATTGTTCAAATTCCAATGATTTCCAATACCAAAGGGCGTAAAAATCAAAATAAAATCTTGATGACTTGCTGAAGTCAATGGAACACAAGGGCATTCAGTGTCTAAAATGGGTTTTCTTTTAATAAGCTCACTAGAGGGCTGGTTTCCAACTTAAGGTATGGAAATTCCTGGGAATATATGAAATATTTCTAGAAAGTTTGTAAATAATAGCTCCAGAAAAACAGAAGGCTTGTCAAATGGCTTCCATTTGTTTGTTCTTCATCTCTCCACACTTCCTTAGAAAATTTTTAATGATTTGCAAATTGCAATAATTAAAACCCACTAATACAAGTAAATTTCTCCTTAATCATGGTATACTGTCATTGGGTACAGCTCTGAGAAATGTGGATTGCTACTAGGATAGAGAAGTGGAACCCTGTAAATCCTAAGATGATTTACAGCTTTGGGGCCGTTTGCCAAAAAGGCGTCAATCGTTATCTGATTATAGATTTGCCAACGGCATCTAAAGCAAGCAAGCCCTCCCACTCTAGAGTACTCTCACCTCAGGCTGGCTGAAAATATTTTTGTAATAAGCCAAACTGAACTGCGTAAGGAACAACTCTCCATGGGCAAAGATCTATGTCTCAATTTCTTCCAAAGTTCACACTTACTCTCAGACAGCATCGGATAATGAACAATTAAACAGTTAAAGGCAAAGTAGAGATGGAAATGTTCAGCAACAAAGGTCCAAAGACAGAACAAACTAATCATTCATCTGACTTAAAATTTGATGTGGTATCTTCCTCAGGATTTTTAATTTCAGAAAGCTAGATAGACTACAGAAAATTCTAGTTTTCTTGTATACCTTCTGCTAGAGACTAGTTCACAGAATTGATGCATAAGACATTACCCAGCAAGTGGTTTTGAGTTTAATTCACTAAGCAATACATGCACCGTTACAGAGACAGAGTCCTGCTGATACAGCTCCTGAGCCTACACCTTGCAATATGGAGACATGAATATACTCTTAGGGACTTCTTGCTTCTCCCTGTCCCACTAATGAACTTCTACAAAATTGCTTTAAACCAATCAATTAAAGTAAATCTCCGGAGACAACTGGGAAAGATTTACATGGTATTGAATTTAGGGAAGTTATACAATAGGCAATGTGCTGCTTTGGGCAGCTCAGCTGTGTCTCATCTGCTAATGTACGGGTTCAATTTCTCCTACCTCTTTGGAACTTCTGAAACAATGATAAACTTAATGAGCCTTCTAGATAAAACATCTCCTAATAATATATCTGCAACACAGATAATTCTGTTCTTTAAAATACATATGTATCAAGCCTCAGACAACAGCAAAATCCAGGAGACAGATTTATATTTCCAGCTACTGCATATTGACTTCACTTCCTTTATTAAAAAATGTATTACAGAAAAAGAGCTTCATATATATTTTTTTTCTTTGGACTTTTATCAATAAATTAGTGAATGAAATAAAATCTATCATATAGGGAAAACAGACAACATTTACGTAGATCCATTTTCATTTTTAATACATTTTAGGATACAGACTGGTATTTCAGAGAGAAATGTACAGAAAAGATAATTTGAAGAAAGAGGTATTACAGTGCAAAACTATACAAAGAAACTGTTATTGCAGAAGACAGCTGGAGTGTCATTTCCTAAATTCCCAATGTGCTGCCATTACACAAACCGCAACAGAATGATAATCCACAATGTATTATAAGGAGAAATCTCATTTGTCCCACAAGTAAAGAACAGAGCAGACACCTCGTAACAGATGATCTGTCAAGATCTTCCCTTACTTGTGAGAAATATACATTTCATTACAGAAATTTTTTTAATCTCTTTGCTGACATATCACTCTCCAGGGAAACTGCTGCACAGCAGACCACACATTATCTCAGTGGCTATTCATTCAAATTCATCCTTAGAAGTTTCTTAATATTGTGGACTATTAGGAAGAAATATGCCCCCAAACAGCTTCCCTCCACGAAATGCTTGGCAAGGGCAATGGAGAACTGAAAACGAGTGTAGGACATTTCTCATATAATTTAAAGTAAGTATTTCTTTAACTCAAATCACACAGAACCTTGGCTACCCAGCCTCCACAATCTTCTTGAAAAATGAAACACTTTTCCAACCAGCCGTTGTTACAGCAGACATTGCAGTATGCAATGTCAACTGTCATTCTGTTAGAAGAAAATATTTCAATAATTGGGATAAAACACTTTCTGAAGAAAAATGAATTACAGAGAATTGCTTTATATGCAACATGAAAACTGGTCAGTGGTGCAGCAGCAGGACCATCTTAGGATGAATGTGATACTTCTGCGTGCTTTAACTCAATACTGCAATGGTTTCCATTAAAAATTAAATATTTGCCAAGGGCTAATTCACTGTGACCCTCAGACTAGAAAATAACTGCAATATCTCAAATGAGAGGGGGAGATAATCATTGCAAATACAGATGTTTTAAATTTATTCCCTTTCCTCATTTAAAATTTGTAAGACCAGAGAGACTGTTGGAGGGGATCTATATAAAAGGGCAGTTTGCAGAGGCTGGAATGTGGAGAATAGGATGAGCTCTTCAGAATACAATTTGTATCTCTCTTGATTGCCATTTTTAGCAATACACTTTCCATCCTAGATTTTCATGCTTCCAATTAAGGATAGTAAAAATAATACATCTTTGTAAGCACTTTAAGATCTACAAATGTAAAGTGCTGAGTGGAATTACTATTTTTATTATTAATCAAAAGCCAAGCAGCGACTTTTTCAAAAAATATTTCATAGTTGCTAGGTGACAACAGTGCAGTCTCCTACAATGTCATTTACAAAATGCAAGCTCTTACAAGCAAAGAAATGAGAAGTTAAGGACATCATAAATCTTGCCCTGCCTACTTAATAAGCAATAATATTATTCATAGGTACAAAGAAATGCATATTGCACTGTGTAACAGTCTTAAGTTTGATCTGTGGATTTGTTTTTACGGATATGACTCTATGATCTCTGTTTTTCTTTACTGACCCTAAGTTTCTCCACTGCTAACATTCATTTTCCATTGCTATTTCTAGATAACCAGATTAAGATGTATTTTAGAAGCATTAGTAATTTGACCTATTCAGCTATAAACACCTCTGGATTTGTTTTTAAGGTACATGCAGAGAGCTACACACACCTGTCTACTTTAGGCCAGACCAGACAACTAACGGTGGCCCCAATGGAGGTCCTTGTCTAATCACCACTACCTATGGAAGAAACTTCTATTTCTACCATGATCCTTTGAGTTGCAGGTAAATTAGATGCCTAAATTACCCTGAACTGGATGGAGAAGATCCATTGCTAGTTTTACTATCACCTGTTACTAATGTAATGTCCATTTTACTTGTGGAGATTACAAATGGCAAAAAAATGCATCCATTAAGCTCTGAGTTAAGTAGCTAGTGTCACATTAGACTTGTATTTGCAAACCCTAGTAAATACACATTTTATTTTAAGCAAATCCATAAACGTTTGGAGGACAAGGACCTTCAGGTTCATATAATGGACAGGGCAAGATTTATGAGTACAGTAAATCTGTCAGCTCATGGGTTTTTCAGTATTCAGAATCTACAAAACATGTGGCATGAGAAGATGTTCTTGTGGCTTAACATTAACTCGTTTTCTCTTAAAAACAGAAAATTAAAATAATTGCATTTAATTTGTTGATAACCTAGTATTTAGATAATTCAGGAATTAAGAAGGGTCACTGATAGTTATGGTAAGAAATCTGCAGGGAGGTCCAAGCTACAAAACAACA